ATATATATATATATTATATATATATATATATATATATATATATATATATATATATATATATATATATATCTATATATATATATATATATATATATATATATATATATATATATATATATATATATTATATATATATATATGTATATACTATATTGATTCTTGTTCTCTGTATATCATACATATATATAATATAACATATATAATCTCTCTCTTAGATGGAGACAGAAATTACAAAACAGGGAGTGGAGCAGGGGGTGTTTAAAACTGACACTTTGAACAATTAATCACATGTATTTATGCATGTGTTTGTCATCTTTGCATCTTTATGTTTCTGTGTATCTCATAGGGAAGTTATATTTTAAAAAATTCCAGTAACTCCTTTTTTTTCCCCCCCCAAAGAAAGAGCACTTTATTTATTCCCCGTGGGGAAATTCCTCTCTGCATTTAAACCACTGCTCCCTGGGCAGCCATTGGGCGCCCGGGGAGCAGTGTGTGGGGATGGTACCTTGCTCAGGGGTACCTCAGGGTAGCTGTTCAGGGGAATCGAACCCCCGACCTTCCGTTCATGGGGCCACCACTCTACCTACTGAGCTATCCCTGCCCCTCAGTAACTCCTCTTTATTAGGCAACTGTTGTTCCTCATGGGGCAGAAGTCAGTACCCACACTAATCTGTCTCTCTCTCTTGTGTTTAGTATGAGTGTGGCATACCAGAGGTCTGTTCTCGCTGTGTGATCTCAATAACAATACTGAAATTGTGCCTCAGGATGTGTATGTGTGTCTGTGTTTGTGTGCGTGTGCAGTGAGTTAGTTCATATACAGAGAGAAAGTTAAGATATATATATATATAGTCTAACTCTCTGGGGGAATGTTCTCATCCGCAAAGACCCGCTCCCCCAGGAGGCCCCTCGGGCCTATTGCTGTGACAGCCAATGACGGCACATGCACCCACACAGACAGAAAACAGTGGTATATTACACATGGGATAACAAATGAGGATTAGAGAGTGTGACAAGAGATTTAATGCTTCCTGGTGAAGGTCAAGTTGAAAAAATAACTATGTTAGGTGGAAGAAGGAGATGGGAGGAAGAGCCAAAGAAAGTCAGAGAGGATGGGAGAGAGAAAAGTGGAAAAAGGCAACAGGTTGCCACAAACATAAGGACTCAAGTTCATTACTTTCTACTTGTTGTGCTTTTTAATGCATAGGCCAAACAAACGCAACAATCTAATCTCAGAAAACTTAAACTTGAGGGTTGTTCTTACCCTCAACTGAAAACATCATCCGGACTAAGATATTTCTCTATTTATAGATTTAGCATGGAAAAATAAAGCACCTACTTGCATTTGGTTAATATTTTGTAATCTTGTTTTTTTCCCCTCAAGATGTTCAAGACGCTTTAAAAACAAACCCACACTTTTCCTGTACAGATTTTGACTCGGAGCTTTGGCTTGTTGATTTTGAGCTGGAAGCTGGCAGTGTACCTCTGTGCATTCTCTGCTACCTTGCCTCTAAAATATGTGCAACAGAAAAAAAATATTTAGCTAGTGATAAATCAGAGCAGGCCTCGAAAAAACTAACTGTGTGTGTGTGTGTGTGTGTGTGTGTGTGTGTGTGTGTGTGTGTGTGTGTG